AAGTCTTGCTTTGGTCTTGTTCTTTTAATGCGATCCGGTGATACCACGAATAGCAATCGAGAAAGGATAACGGGCGGACCCATTTGTTGAGTCGACTATCCGGTCAATGCGTGGTAGCCCGAATGGATCTTTTGGGCAATGCTTGTTGAGATCCGTGTAGTCGGCCTTTATACGCCACTCATCTGTGTTCTTCTTTTGCACAAGGACCGGGTTTGCTAGCCGGTCCGGATGAAGGATTTCTCGATGAATCCGCCGCCATCGGTTTGTGATTTCTTTTTTTTTAATCGCCGCCTTTTTTGTCGGGTGAGAATCGTCGAGTCATTGCTTTCTGAGCTTGGAGTTTTCATTAACATCAATTCAGGTTTCGACCAACTCTCTTGGGACACACGGCATGTCGGCGGCTTCCGGTGAAGATATCTTTGTTGTCCCGAAGAAAGTTGGTGAGCGCGAGTTCTATTTTGCCGAGAGGTGAGCACCGATGGTTCTTTGTCTTGGAGGTATCGCCGGTGCCCAAATCAATTTGCTTGACGTCGGCTTCTTTTGGTGGTGTGATAATCTTTGGGCTTTTTAGCGGTATTTCTAATTCTTCTTGGCTTATCTCTGCAGCAATTGTGGCTATTTGTTTTCTCCCATTGTCGGCTGTGCTTTTGCCGCAATTTGGATCGCTGAACGTCATGATCAAAAAGCTCGCTTCAAATCGCTTCAAGAGAAAGGATACCGTTGGGTCCCGCATCTTAAGCAATAAGTACGGGTAATGTGGTATTGCCATGAATTTTGCAGTCTTTGGGCGTCCGAGGATTGCATGATATGACGAATCGAAGTCCGCAACCTCAAATTTGATAAACTCGTTCGATAGTTCGCAGGAGTTCGAAAGTGACGGGTAAAGTAACTTGTCCGAGTGGCATGGTCGCTTTGCTTGGGTACTATTCAAGAAAAGGGAGTGCTTGTTGGTGTAATCATCCCAATGAGTTGTAGTCCCATCTTCCTTAGAGTTTCTAAAAGATGATGTTGAGTCCAGCTCCCCATCGATTAGTACTTTGGTGACGGTCATCCCGGCAATAGTTGGGTCTAAAACCGGTGGGTAATGGCTGCGTTCCTCACGCTAGTCCATTGGTCTTCTCTTGAAAATTGGATTGGATATTGTGACCAATTGAGATATCTTGGTGTAGCCGATTCTCTTTGTCATGATGGTTCGTAGTGCTAGTTTTTCTTGACGTTTGCTTTGTGCAACTGGAGCTCCCTGAGAAGATTATCGCTACCGTTCCCCGGGTTTTGAAATCCTTTGTCCTCGTGGTTGTCTTCATCTTTCTTGTGATTGTCCTCTTTGGTGTTCTCCTTACTATTTTTTCTCGTGTATCGATCATTGAAAGTGTAGCGATTTTCGATCGATGGTGTGTCTCCCGTTAGGGTGTAATGGGCAACGTATGTTTTCAATGTCTTCATATCTTCCGGTTTAGAAAACTTCTTCGATTTGTCGGCCATTGCCACGGTATTGTCCGGTCTCACGCTTTCTTTCTTGATGTCTGTTGTTTGATGATTTTGCCTATCCGGGTTGTCTTGATTGTTTCTATCCAGGAACCTTTCTCGTGTTTTTTCTTCTCGCCGTAATTTTTTTTTCATTGTTCGTCTCAATTCTTCATTGTTTCTCGGATTTTCTTTGCGTAAATCTTGAAATTGCCACCTAGCCATGATTCCATGAGAGAAAGCTTCAATTACTTCTCGTTCGGTGATGTCATGCACTTGAGCTTGATTCACCGAATCGCCGATAGTAATTTCTCGAGACTCTCGCCTCCCTTTTGCTTGAGTCCTTTCGATTCGGCATGAGTGATCGGGTGTGTGATGATACTGCGAAATTTTCGCAGAAAGCTCTTTGCAAGTCTTCCCAAGTTCTGATCGATCCTGGGTTCAATTTATCAAACCATTGGAGGGGCATTGTTTCCAGTGCCATGGGGAAGAACAAGGTTTTAATATCATCGTCTCCTCCGGCTAGTTCAATTGATTGTGAATATATTACGAGCCATTGTCTTGGTTCGGTTTTGCCATCATACTTGGAGTGATTAGACGGTTTGAATTTGTGAGGTAATCGAATCGATGCCAACTTTGTTTGCAAAACAGGGGAATCATCATGCGTTCCGCTTCCTTGAATTGAATTCGGCTCCTTCTTACGCCAAGTGTTGTTTTGATGGGAATAATTTGCGAGGTCTGTCAGGTAGGCCCTCTACTCCTGGTCTTCCTTGGTTGTTCAAATTGATGGCCCCGACTATGTTCCCTCCCGCGCTTTCCCGTTATGGCTTCCACTTTGGTCCAAGTCTTTCAAAAGCGGACTTCCTTTGATTTTGATCTTCTTGTCTATGGGTTGTTGATCTGGCAGGTATTCTTGATCGGGTTCTCTCTTCATGTGTTCTTGGGATCGTTGACCGGAGCAAGTCCCAAGTCGCTGTTCATACTTCTCCCCGTGATGTGAAGTTGCCCCGAGTTCTTCTAATGCTTCTCGAATCTTATCGTAAGGCGACTCATTGTGTCTCCCTTGACCTCTTGTTGTGATTTTCTTTTGTCGTATTCAACCAATTTCGACTCAGTATCTAGTCCAGCTTCTCTACTGTTTGAGCGCCAGCGGTCTTTGGCGCCATTGTTTCAACTTGTTTTTCCTTTCTCGAGCCTGTCTCGACTTTCGGTTTCTCCATCGTAGCCCCGAGCAAAGGGTGATATGTTGGATTCTCGATTCATCCGATGATCGACATCGGGTGCTTCGGGGGGTTTAATGGCGACCGAGGCGTCGAACCATCGATTTCCGTGCGTGAGCTGTTCCGTTATTGTCGTTAGTTGTCATACCGTCGGAGTTGTTGATGACTTCGCAGCGCCTCGACGTCAGAGATTGAGTCTCCCTCTTGGTAAGGTAGAATAGCATTTGTTGTCGTTTGTGCCGACTAGTTGGGTTTCGCTATCCTCGTGAATGCAGATCTCGCCGATGGATGATACTGATCTTGCGATGTTATCGTTAGAACGAGGCCCTCCCGAGCTCCCTGTCGCTGGTATCCCAAGTGTTGATTTGAAAGGCCTTTCAAACCGTCCCCGATAGGATTTTGTCGTGTTGTCCGGCCCAAATGGAAAAGAACTCGGCCTTTTGAAAAACTCGAGGGTAATCCGAGTTGTTTTGGTTTGTATTCGAATCTTGCCAAATAAGAACTCGACTTCTTGAAAGCACTCGAATAAGACTTCATCTCGGATCACGGAGCTTGAATTCGAGTCGGATGGAATCTTATTCGAATCGGGTATTATGAGAGCTGCTTGAATCTTACGATGAGTTGATCCGTCGTAGTTGTCGAAATAGAGGATTCTTCATGATGATCCGGATCTCCGAGGAGATGACTTTGAAGCTTGTCAGTAGTTATCCGCCTCGCAGATCCACGAGCCAAGATGAAAATCGATCCGTCGGGAAGATCATGTTATTGAGGTCCATCGAGCTCTCGGATGCAAAGTCGCTGAAGGCCCTATTCTGGCGCCGCCAAATTGTCGATGTTTTACCATCGATAGCCTACCACGGGGTACCCATGCGGTAGTATCGTTCGGGTTTTGGCAGTATCTTTGAACTCGATGGTGAACGCAAGAGACGATCGATTTATCTCGAGTTCGGGCCCTCGATCGTAGATCGAGTAACGACCCTACGCCCAAATCGGCGTTTGCCTTTTTGCGTTGGATTGATCATGAAGTGTTATGTCGCACCAATTGTCCCTCTTCAGAGCCCCGCCCTCCTTTATATAGTCGGGAGGCCGAGTCCTAATCGGTTTACAATGAGATTTTCTAGTAGGATTACTTAATAGTTCTATTACTAAGATTACATGGGAAGAATCCTAGTTGAACTAGATCTTCTCTCTCTTGCGGGGTATCCTGTAGGTCCCGCATCGACAGAGAGGGAGGGGACGCTTGGCTGTCGTGCTGCGTGAGCTAGGAAAGGGGAGGAGGCGTCCCGCGTCCGCGCTTGCCTCGCGGCCTCGCCCGACGCGAGGGAAGGGGATGGGGCATCGCGATGCAAAGGTGAGAGGAGCGAATGCAACGTGGGGAGAGGGCTGCGCGTGCGCGGTTGGAGGAGAAGAAAGTTTAGTAGGACTTTAGAGTTAGGGGGGTTGAGGCGTGGGGCTCTTAGCAGACTGGGCCGCCATCGGGCCGTGCGCAATGGATCGGGCAGTGCCGTGCCGGCACATCGTGCCTGGGGCAAGGCCCAGGCACGGCCTGCTGTTTCGGGCCATGCCCGCTCGCCACCGTGCCGGGCCGTGCTGATGCCGAGGAAAAAATGCGGGCTTCTTGCCGGCCCCTTCAGGCCATGGGATGCATGCCCATATATACATATATATATATATATATATATATATATATATATATATATATATATGTGTGTAGAGTTGTCCGAGGTATAAAGAAACTATTGAAAGATGAAATGATATACTCCCTCCATCCTAAATTGTAAGACGTTTGACTTTTTTGGCCCTAAATTTGACCACTCGTCTTATTCAAAAAAATTGTGCAAATATAGTCAAATTTAAGTCATTCTTGAAGAATTTTTATTAATAAACCAAACCACGACGAAAGAAGTGATATTTTACACAATTTTTTGAATAAGATGAGTGGTCAAACTTGATGTCAAAAAAGTCAAACGTCTTGCAATTTGGGATGGATTGGGTAGAAAACAATTTTTATATAAATTGGTCTTTAAATAACAATTTAAAAAGTGTGTTTAACCAAGACGTTAGAAAGTGAAAGTTGAACAAGCTTTTCAAACAGCCGTTTCAGCGACAAGAACTGAAAATTGCTGCTGTGGCCAACTGGCCACACATTTCCACGCCCTGTACTGCCCTATGCGGTATTGCGGTCTGCCCGTATGCCGTACCTCGTTCACGGAATCACGGTCACGGCGCTCCACAAAATCTCGTCGCGGCCTCGCGGGTCTGGGCTCCGCGTCCGCGGCACCCTACACCGGCGAGCGGCGATCGTTGCCGCGCCCAATGGCCGCCATCGTAGCACCAAAACCCCTCCCGTTCCTCACCACCCTCACCACCCGCTCCTCACTTGCCCGCTTACCCACTCGGCGTTCCACCCAAACCTCCTGTTCCAGTGCCGGCCGCCGCGGTCCCGCTGTCGCGGCCACTCCTCGTCCCGGCGTAGCTTGCAGGGTCCATTCCCGCCTTAGGTCTCTTCTCCCTCCCAGCGCGGCAGCCTCGCCCCCAACCGCGGCAGCGGCGGAAGGTATTAGGCGCGTATGAATTTGTGCTTTGTTGCAAAGTTGACTGGATGATGTCATAATTGTGTGTCTCTGATTTCTGAAGGCATGTCTGACCCGGAGCTGAGTCTGGTGCTCGAGCTCGCTACCGACGAGGAGCTGATGGAGGTGGAGGAGATCCTCTACGGCACCAGGTTTGAGCGCTTCCTGATTTTCGCTCAAGCTGTTTTGCCTATTTAGCTCTGATATGAGTTCATCAGATGGTTTGGATGATAGTATTGGGTTCTTAAGACAAAACTGGATGAGTTAATCTGGGATTCTGATAATGGTGTGCATCTGAAGTAAGTGACTGGGTATGTATGCAGCAAGCAAGTGCAGATTGATACTGTGTTTTGTTTGATTACTCTAATGCAATCTTTGGGTAGCGGTGCCATTGTGCCAGATTCAGTGCCTATTGCAGTTTGTATTTGGTGCTAGCTAATAGTAACTTCCATGTCTCAAAGTTCAGTAATAGTGACAAAGATGCTTGATTAAATACAACATATGTGGCAAGTGTGATTCCAGCTCTGCTACTAACTCCGATTTCAAATGCTGGCCGTTTTAGACCTGTGTAATAAGATTAAGAAAATAGATTGTTGACACTCAAAATTTTGGTCTTTGCATCAAAATAGATCAAATGCTAGCCTCATTTGTACCATATTGAGCAGATCACTCATTTATAAATGGTAGTGTTTATATTTATTAAGCAGGGTTAAGGATGGAAGAAAAGGGTAAAATATTCAAAGAAATTCTAGGATGACTTACACCGAAAGAAAAGTTGCGAAGGCAGAAATGACCTACATTTAGATTTAGAATTGGATGGACTAACTGCATACGCAACAGGAATGCATAAGTGGTAACTTCAGTTGCTACACCTTTGTAGAATAAAAATGTATATGCATTGTAATGTATAATCTATGAGACAAAGATGATGGGGACTGGAAGTTTATGCAAGATAGTGGCCACAAAGGACTTAGTATTGTTTTTATGTTAAAAGGTAAATCTCTTTCTCCTTCTCTTTTGTGTTCTTCTGCTTATTGGTCTGATATTAAGAATTTGGAAAACAGTTGGCTTGTCCTTGTTTCCTTTTTCTTGATTCGGTCTTTAATTTGCTCACTTATTTAATTGGACCTACTCACCTACCTGATTTTTCTACATGGAGAGTACCATAGAATGTTAGTATGGTGCTAGCTCTTCATATCATACTGTTCCTCTGTTCACCTTCTCGAAATTAATGTTCCTTTTGTATTTCCTTTGTTCACAGCTATTTTAGTCCATTGCTAAAGTCAATTGCAAGAAGACCGAACTCAGATGGTGTTGTTGTTTTGGATGATATCGAGGAGAGAGATCATTTCATCTCAAAATTAGAGTCAAGGTTCCTGTATCTTGCTGCAGATGCTCGCTCTATCATAAGGTCAGTCAAGGAGCTCTTTTGTTGACCTATCTCTAATTGAAAAAAGGGGAAAAAATGGTCCCATGACAGTGAAAGATTATGGCTATAGAAATACAGCACCAAACTGATCTAGTACACTTTAATACCAATGAGAGGTACAACGGTTAGAAATATATCACACAGTCATGTTTTCAGTCAATCTCGCCGTCTTCCTTTTCCATCTCATACCCGTTGCCTACAGCGCTCTCTTCCTCCAATCCCCAGTGATGCTTGTGGATAAGGATGATAACGATATGGAACGGTATTACAATATGGAAAATGAAAACAGTCGGTTTCGAATTTCCCATATTTGTGGAATGAACAAATAAGAAAACAGTAAAAAACTCCATATCCACGAGGGGGCGCCCTACCAAACCCAGGTCCACCGTAGTCCACAACAAACCAAGGCCTTTCTTGGATGCTGAATTGTACTAGGACTTGAGGCTAATCTCCCATGTATACTTGTAATCTTTCAGCCTCAGGCCTAACTGAACTCAAAAGATAGCCCCGTCACCATGTGGCCCTGAGGTGTTTCCTGACCATGAGCTAGCTTTGATACCTCTTGTTAGTGCTAGTGGATCCGGTCTAGCTTGCTATACCTACGAGTCGGTGTCCTAGGTCCACTAGAGCTCACAACAAACCAAGTTCTCTGGCCTAACTCAACCAAAAAGGCAGCCTAATGCTGAGGAGTGCCTCCACCTTATATGTTCTACTAACCCACCATCAATTTCCGGTGTGGGACTAAACCTAACAAAACAGTTGTGAAATCGTTTGAAAATGACAACTTTTATATTTTGCTAAAATTGGAAACGATATCATAATATGAAAACTACATCAAACGGTATTGAATTTCCCGAACCTGCTTTTTTCATCCCTACTTGTGAAGGCAACTGGCAACCACAGGCTGGCGACCTCAACACTGCTACTAAAATCTGTCTCAAGGTGTTGCCTCTGGCCTGTACCTTATCTGCCCCGCCTGTTGCCCAGATGCTGAGTGACACATTCTCTGCCACCAGGAGATCCAGCAAAGCCACCTGCTGCCATGGGAGGCACTGGCAGAGGAGGAGAGTGGGTGGGGTTGCAGCAGCGTGAGGAGGTGAAGGTGCCATGGCGAGGTTGCTTCACCAATCTCTACTGGAACCAACCATGGCACAGCTCGAGCAAGTTTGAAGTGATTTAATTCTAAACCGATTGGATTTAGGTCTAATTGTTGATTGATATCGAGCTGCTACATCAGGTCGGGAGCGATTCAATGCCTTGCTTGTCCCTATGTGTATGGATTCAATTTGGAAGAGAGATTTAGTTGAGCTCTGAAACTGGATTCTAGTCTACACTGTTGTGAAGAAGTCCATCTGATGGTAGGGGCAAGTGATCTGGAGAGCGACACAGGCTGACAGAGAGGAATGTGTGTGATCAGACATTATGGTGGGAATTGCTCCTTAGACGTGTCACAATAGCAGCAGTCTGAAAACAATGAAGGGTGGAGGAGGAAGAGGTGCTCAGGCATCTGTCAATGGTGAAGAAGACGGAGGCTAAATGGAGACAACGAGGGATGGACAGAACTCTAGGAAGACTGACGGGGTGGTACATTTCTGAATGGCGCAATCTTTCAGTGACATTAGTGTACCAGGTCACTTAAGTGGTATATTTCTAAAACCATGATCTTTTGATTTCCCAAAACCAATTTTCCTTAAATGACCATTGCTAAATTGATTACATTCATAGTCAGCTCGCTGTAGTTCATCATTTTCTTGAAGCTTTTACAAGAACATTTTGCACTTTTCTCCGATTGTTCTTCATAGGAGGTGGAGACCATCATACAGTGATGTCTTGCTCAGAGTAAGAAAAAAAATTGGCGTTCGATGCTCTAGCAAATTGTGTACTGCAGACCTTGAGGCAGAAATATTTCTTCACCTTGTGGATGAATATTCAAGGTACTTACCCATAAGCATACCTTAAAAAAGGGTCCTTGGATAAGCATTAGTTTTGTATCCTCATATACAACATAGTATACTATGCTAGTTTTCAGCCCATACAACTCTATTCGTTCATTAAATGTAGATCCTCTTGTGAGTCCACTATTCTCAAAGTACCTTTGAATTTCCACACATCAGCTGCATGAAAGACCAACTTTCATTTCCATGGGATAAACAAAAATCTCCAAAAGAAACCTCTAGCCTTGGTGCAAACAACTGGAAGGTGCTTACTTATGTGGCTTGGAGGATTGGAACAAAGGGAATGGAAAATACCTTTCTAAAGGTTCTTTGCAATCCTCATTTTTCTATCCTTTTCCTTTCTAATCCTCTCATTTTTTTTCACTAATTTAAAATTTTTTCTTTATGGAAGGGTGGTAGTGCATTGACTTTGAAAACAATATATGAATCGGTATGTTATAGTTTTTATTTTGAAATATTGAATACTACTCCATCCATTCTAAATTGTAAGTCATTTTGATCTTTTGGCTTTTGTTGTGCACCTAGATATATGTTGTGCATACATAGTAAAAATTATGTATCTAGAAAAGCCAAAAGACCTACAATTTGGAATGGAGGGACTACTTGTTCTCACTGCATTATTGTTTTTCATTAATTTCACTTACGATACCATTATGTTAGTTAGCCAGTAGACTGTCTGGAAAACTGCTGAAGGAGGCTGCAAATTATGAGATAAAGAAAGAACTTGTTAAGCAGGTATACCTATTTGTATTGATATTTTGCTATATTGTTCCTGATTTTATGTGCTCATTTGGAAATTGTTGAATGACCAATATATCCTTTCAGCTGTTCCACGTTGTTTTTGCTCGAATTACCTATAGCGTTTCTTATCTTAATATAGGCATTTTCTTTCCATTTGCATATCGACAAATGCATTGCAACTTGTGTGAATAGACTATACTCGCACATTGCATTTAATATTCGCTAGCTTCCTCCGTCCACAAAGGGATGCAACTATGAGATTTGTGAAAGTCAAATTAGCTTAATTTTGATCAAGTTTATTGTGAATAGTACTCCCTCCGTTCCAAATTATAGTTCGTTTGACTTTTTTGACCCCAAGTTTGACCACTCGTCTTATTCAAAAAATTTGTGCCAACATAGTCAAATTTAAGTCATTCTTGAAGAATTTTTGTTAATAAAGCAAGCCGCAACAAAAGAAGTGATATTTTTTTTGCACAAATTTTTGAATAAGACGAGTGGTCAAACTTGAGGTAAAAAAAGTCAAACGAACTATAATTTGGAACGGATTTAGTATTAACATTTATGTCTCCAACTAGGTTTAGTACGGAAATATATTTCATAATTCATTTAACTGTAGTTATCTTGTATCATAAATATTAGTATTTTTTTATATAACTTTGATAAAATTTTAAATCGCTTGGCTCCTTGAAAAGTGAGAAGTGCATCCTTTTGTAGACGGAGAGAGTGCCATCTTAATTCAATTAATGTTGGAAAGTACTGATCTTTTTAATGTACAGGGTGGGCGGTTGGCTGCTGTTAACCTGGAGTCTAGAGCTGGTTTGCTTGCAGCTAGGCAGGTAATATGATCTTCTGTTACTAGCAAGTACATATGTCCAATCCTCACACATATGTCTAAGATTGCACCATTCAGGTGTCACGTTTCAATAGTCCTTGAATATTTGCAGGGTTTGGCTCGGGCAGCATCGAGATATGTTGGACTCAGGAGTGTCATGACATTTCTTGGACCAATGTATGCTTCTAGTAGTCTGAAACTGTTACTTCCCGTTTTGTTTTAAGAAAATCATTATTAGTCTCTGAATAATTCTACCACGTTCAAACACCGGTGTTATTTTGAGCAGTTTACACTGTTATTTTTTTGTTTATTGCTGGATGATATTTTAATTGCTTCATAAACCTTTAGTATCGACATTGAGCGGTTGGGCCACAAACCATATAAATCAGAATCCCTTCATGGAGTGGTATATCATGTCATGCCAACATGCCCTATTAGTAATTAAATATCCTTTCTTTGTACTTAACTTTGCTCAGATTGTGGGGGACACTCTTGGCTGATATTGTGATTCAAATGCTGGGCACGGATTATGCTAGGATCGTCCAGGCAATCTATGCATTTGCTCAGGTGAAGTTCATGTTATTTTCATCCATCTTCTCAGGCGACGCATTGTTTGTCTCTAACTGCATTGATTTATATTTCTTCTTCTTCTGAATAGATTCGTCTGACTCGGACAAGTTACATAGAACCTGATGAAGAATGACCAGAGTGCGATCGTTACTGAACTAGCCTAACTGGCATTCTGATCTAAAAATTATTACCGCCCCATGCTGTACATTCTAACCATGAAGATCACCATCTGCTTCTGCGGATTGCGGTGCAAATACTCCACGGGACAACAAGGTTAGGCTTCAGTCTTTGTAGTACTGCTAATGGAAGTGCATACAAGGGGGACACGAGCGGTTACAAGACGTTGGGTCGCACGGACAGTCAGAGCACAACAGGCTACTCCCCTGATTGAAAAATTCGAGGTAAAGCTTAGCAAAACTAACCTAATTGTGACAATGGAAATATATATAGTAGTGTTTAACAACGAGCTCCACAATGGCCATTTGGGCGACCTACCCTGTGAACGCTGAAGTTGTGACTGAATTTACTTCCGCTTCACACTTCCACGGGGCCCGAAGTTGTAGACCATGCATTCCGCTCTGCTCCGGTTGAATATTGTAAAATATTGCCCCCCCCCCCCTATCCTAAACTATTCCTCCTAACGTTCGGTTAGGCAAAGCAGATCTCATTGACATACCCTGATGCCACGATCTACAGACATGCTTGTACACAACACAACAGCGCAGAATTTACATGTAGCACCCTACCTGTTTCCTGTATATAAAAGGGCTACTGATTCATGATCATCACCTGCAGTGAATTTTACCATGGTGCCTGCTTGCTATTGTCCAAGTCTCGGAGATGTCTCAAATTGTTTTTTTTTTCATCTTTTCTCGATAACTTTAAATTCGAAATGCGCTGCTTGGCGCATGGAACTCGCCGCAACAATTAGCATATCTGGAAAGCACAAGGTTTTGCGTGCAAAGTTTTCCAGAACAGAGCAGAGGAACCATGCATGCTGCGAGCGGCATGTCTAGAAGGATGTCGAGCTCGAGCCACATTGTTTACAGCGCTCACCGTGATCACGCGCTCACACTCCTTCACCAGACCGCCCAAGCTTTCTAAATCCTGGGCACTTACCACGTGAGACCGGGGCGCCGATGGAACCACTACGGCGACCCTCCCTCGCAGTTGCACACCGTACGCCATAAAGCGCAGGAGCGCGCCTGCGCCACCAGCTAGCTCCGCTGGCGTCCGGCCCCGGCGACATGGTCGCTAATAAGACGACGACGATGGTGATCAGCCTGGGGAGCTCGCGGCGGCGGAAGCGCGGCGAGATGCTGTTCCGGTTTGAGTCCTTCTGCCAGCCCGGGTACCCGGCGCCGCTCGCCGGCGGGGGCGCCTTCAGGGACAACGTCAGGGCGCTGCTCGGCCTCTCGCACCTGGAGGCCGGCGGCGCGCATGGCGAGACCAAGTGCTGGTCGTTCCAGCTCGAGCTGCACCGCCACCCGCCCACCGTCGTCAGGCTCTTCGTCGTCGAGGAAGTGGTCGACGCGTCGCCGCAGCGCCAGTGCCACCTCTGCCGTCACGTCGGTACTCACCGCGTTGCTGCTGTCTTTTGTCGATCCCAATCCTGAAGATGCTGAACTTTTGCATGCAATCAACGCCTGGCGTACGTACACAAGTTATAAGTTCTTAGTTACACCATGGGGGCCTGCATGATACATCTGACAGCCGAGTACGGAATACTAATTCAAACAAAAAATCGCCAATAATACAATCAACAACGTACTGCACTCTGATAGTCTGATCTGCAGAAAACTATACCGATCGAGAGTAGCTCGGTCAGATATATATGCTCACTTTCAGGAAAAACCCCGTGGTGTTTCAGGTTGGGGTCGGCATCTGATCTGCAGCAAGAGGTTTCACTTCGTGCTGCCCAAGAGGGAACTATCAGTGGAAGCGGACGGCCTGCACTACGGGATCAACCACGGCCCGGAGAAACCGTCCAAAGGCACGGCGACCTCCAGGGGCCACCTGCTGCACGGCGTGGTGCACCTCAACGGCTTCGGCCACCTCGTTGCCCTGCACGGCTTCGAGGGCGGTTCCGAATTCGTCGCCGGCCACCAGATCATGGACCTCTGGGATCGCATATGCTCCTCCCTAAACGTCAGGTGTGTGCAACGTTTGTTATGCCCCGTGCACTGCATCTGAGTTCATGACGACTAGTGTTTCGTTTGGTTATATATGCACTGCAAGGAAGGTGAGCCTCGTCGACACGGCGAGGAAGGGGCACATGGAGCTACGGCTGCTGCACGGCGTCGCGTACGGCGACACGTGGTTCGGGCGATGGGGCTACCGGTTCGGCCGGCCCAGCTACGGCGTCGCGCTGCCGTCGTACCAGCAGTCGCTGCACGCACTCCAGTCGGTGCCGCTCTGCTTGCTCGTGCCGCACCTCTCGTGCTTCAGCCAGGACCTCCCCGTGGTGGTCACCAAGTGCCAGGCCATCAGCGGCCACAAGCTGCTCAACCTCGGCGACCTCCTCCGCTTCATGCTCGAGCTGCGGACGCGCCTCCCGGCGACCTCCGTCACCGCCATGGACTACCGCGGCATCATGTCGGAGGCCTCGTGCCGGTGGTCGGCCAAGCGCGTGGACATGGCGGCCCGCGCCGTGGTGGACGCGCTCCGCCTCACCGAGCCGCCCGCGCGGTGGGTCACGCGGCAGGAGGTGCGCGACGCCGCGCGCGCCTACATCGGCGACACGGGCCTCCTCGACTTCGTGCTCAAGTCCCTCGGCAACCACATCGTCGGCAACTACGTCGTGCGCCGCGCCATGAACCCGGTGACCAAGGTGCTCGAGTACTGCCTGGAGGACGTGTCCAGCGTGCTCCCGGCGGTGGGCGGCGTGCCGAGCAACGGCGGCGGCGGCAAGATGAGGGTGCGGTTCCAGCTCACGCGGGCGCAGCTCATGAGGGACCTGACGCACCTGTACCACCACGTGCTCAAGGAGCCGAGCCAGGCGCTCACCACCGGCGCCTTCGGCGCGATCCCCGCGGCGGCGCGGATGGTCTTGGACACCAAACACTTCGTCAAAGATTACCACGAAGGTTTCGCTCCGATCAACAGTGTTGGAGTTGGGCACGTCCACATGAACCTGTGTTGCACGCTGCTTGTGAGGAACGGGAGCCCGGAGCTGGTGGCGCCGTACGAGACTGTGACCCTGCCGGCGCATGCAACGGTGGGCGAGCTCAAGTGGGAGGTGCAGAGGCTGTTCAGGGAGATGTACCTCGGCCTGAGGACCTTCACGGCCGAGTCCGTCGCCGGGATCGGTGCCAGCCAGGACGCTTGCCCGGTGCTCGGGCTGATCGACGTGGGAAGCGCCGTGGTGATCGAAGGGACAGTCGTCGAGCAGCATCAGCAGCAGCTGGCGGATGAAGGCGTCCAGCCGGGGAACGAGGCGGTGGCGGTTGTGAGCGAGGGAGACGGCGACAGCGAGAGGGTCGTGGACTGCGCTTGCGGAGCGGATGACGACGACGGGGAGCGCATGGCGTGCTGCGACATCTGCGAGGCGTGGCAGCACACCCGGTGCGCGGGGATCAAGGACACCGACGACGCCCCGCACGTCTTCGTCTGCAACCGCTGCGACAACGACGTTCTGTCGTTCCTTCCCTTGAGCTGTTAGAAACTGCTATATAGCCGCCATGGCAGGACGGGATAAACACATCACACTTGAGATTCGAAAAGAATCTGAACTTCGATCAAAAGGAAATCAACTTGACCTCGGGAAATCCAACTTTGAACTCGTTGGAAAACAGAACATCCAGTTCAAGAAAAATCCTACTTATTTGAACTTCCAATAAAAATCAACTTAGCACTCTGTTGAACTTTGAACTTGAGAAAAAACGTGTTCGGTTCATGAGCAAACACTGCCATGCCACGGTTTAGACGTGCTATAGTCTTTTAGGCTGATTCAATCCGCCATAACCATGACTCATTTATTTATCCATACCTTAGCGAAAGATTGGCAAAGAAACGTGGCAATATGTGGACATTCAAATACTTCTCACTTGAGCATTTTTGAGACACACTGTTTGGGTTTTGGTGCCTTAAATTGGTACCACGTTTTGTTCTGTAGGATGAAGAGTACCGAGCTAGTCTTATAGCTTCCTAATATCTAACTTTTTTTTATACTCTCTCCATCCAAAAAGAATGTTATTCTCGCTTTTTGAAGAGTCAATAAATCTCAAGTTTAACAAAATGGAGGGACCACAAGCATCACCACCACTCACCGATGCACCCAAAGGTAGTTTTAATTTATCCATTGGAGTCTAGCAATGGGTCAGCCACGAGCATGCCTATCCGACGGTTGACGGTAGAGACAAGGTAGAAGATGGCAACAGAAATGGTGGGTACGGCATAGATTTGCCCCCAATGAGTTCGTGCGGGTACGAGGGGACCGCGGCAGACTCGACCATGGCAAACTGTAGTATGACGGGCTGGGAGCTTTGACACGATTTCTGTGTGTCCAATGAGCAAAGGGTAGAGGAGGTAGAGACATACTCATTAGAGCTCATTTACAGGACAGAGGTGAAGCACAAGGCGGGGAACAACGATGGTAGTGGGAGCTCGGTGACCGATAATGTTGGTGGCAAGCACTAGAGTAGTGAAAGAGTAGAGGCACATATACTAGGCTTGAGGGAGTGGAAATGAAGGTAGCGCATGCAGGAGGGGGGATAAGCATGGGCTCGGCCAATTTCATGCCATTGCTGTCTACTGACTCCATATGCCAGGTCAGATCTAAGGGCCAAACAAAGGGTATGGACCTGTGGTGAATAACATAGAAATTTTATGAACCAAAAAATCAACTTTTAGAGTTGATGGACCTAACCGAAATCCTTGCATAAGTTGATGGACTTCTGATGCATAACTCTAAAATTAACATTGGGTTTGAGGCCGATTAGTCTTTGTATGTGATGTATAAGATTGTCTCCAAGGTTATTTCTAACCGCCTAAAATCCATCCTACCTTGTATTATTTTGTTGAATCAAAGTGTCTTCGTGCCTGGTTGGCTCACCACAAACACAACCCTATTGGCTTATGAACTCAAGCATTTTCTGCAGACCAAGAAAAGGAGGGGTGGAGAGTTGTGCTACA